GGCGCAGGGTTAATCTCCACAGTCTGTGCTTTGCGTCCTACAGCCCTTTGATCTTCCATCCCGTCTTCCCGCTGAGCCTTGGGAATTCCTTTACAAAGATGACTCACGCCTCTCAGGACCTGAGCTATTATCCCCGCCTTATAGATATGGAAACCAAGGGGACGTCTACACAGTAAAACAAGACCCGCGGGAGTGAGTCTCAGAACCTGGGTCAACTAGGTCACTCAGGCTTGTGCTACTGGGCTAGAAACAGCGGTGTAGACGTTCCCCTTCGGGGACCCTCCCACCACGCTGGGATTCAGATCCCAGGCTTCAGCCTGAGCCGGAACGTCTACACTGCTATATTCAGCCCCATAGAACAGGCCTTGAGTCTGAGACTCGCTGGCGCGGTTTGGGTTTTGCAGTGTAGACGTACCCTAAGGCACAGAGCAGTTTAAGGCCAAACTACAGCCACTGACTTGGGATGTCTCTGATTTTTAGGTACCCAACTTGGGTCACCTTGCGGTCCCCATCCGGGCATCCAAAAATGGAGAGATCCACCCCCAAATCACTGCCCACTTTGGGAAATTTCAGCCTAAGCAACTGGCTCCAAGGCCACGCTGTGAGTAGAATAGAAACCAGGGGCTCCGTTCCCCACTGCCCTGCCCCCGGTGCTACCCAAAGTGCTACCCAATCAGACTGAGAGCGTTTGGCGCGGGTGCCAATGGTCGCGCAAGGTGCAGGACGACTGAGAATCCGGAGATTCCTGGCTCCCTGACCACTGCTCTGACTCTGAAAAGCACACTTCCCCCTAGACCAAGGACTAGAAACCAGGACTCCCCATTGTCAGACCTCTCTCTACCAACCCGGCGACACTTTCTGTTCGCAGGCGGCCCCCCTCGCTGTCTGATCTCAGCTGGCTGGTTAGCATTAGCCTATTAGCTAACGGTGAACACGCTGGGGCACCATAAAAGGGGAGAACCCTTCTAGAGCTGTCGCTGGCTGGCTTTGTCGTGGTTTCTTTTTTATTTGCTTGGGGTTGGCAGACAAGCCTCTCTCCTTATTGTTACTATAATTATTGGCTGGTTCTGCCGTGTGCGGAATGCAGAAGGCTATCGGAGCTGTGGGCTTTAGAATAGGCTTAAATGGAGATTAATAGCAGGAGGGGTGTTGAGAGGGGACTGAAGATGACTGGCTGAGGGAGGGTGAACAGTAACTTTGCAGCAAGGTGGGACAGGACTAAGGGGGGAGGTTTCCTTTCCTTTTAAGGGTGACTTGTAACCCGGAAAGGTATGGGACTCGTGCCCATTTTTGCCTTTTTGTGGCAGATAGAGAAGGCCTGAAAGTTTTAAAAAGCGTATTTTTTAATTGCTTGTTTTTTAACATTCGCTATTCAGGCCTTTCCCTGAAGACCTGCCCGCCGGGGAACGTGTAAGGGTATGACCAGCCCTGGGGGAAGAACTGATTTTTCCCTTCGCTGACCATCCCAAAGCAAACCAGCCCATGGTTTGGAGTTGGATGTTCAACCCCAGCCCAAAACGTTTCATGTCGTTCGTAGGGGGGTTCGCTTTTAAATGACAGGGAGGTAAATTTCTAAACAAAAAGTTGTTCTGATGTGAAGATGTAGAAACAAAACATTTTGATTTTTTCCGATTTTTTTAAGTGTTTTTTTTTCCTGTTGAAACAATTTAGCAAATTCAACACAAATTCACAGAACGTTTCGGTCAACCCAGGTTTGCATTTTTCAGCGAAGAAACGGTGCAGATGAAGAGTGGTGCTCAGCTCTAGTTAGGATATCACACATGAGCAGGGAAGTTAAAAAATGTCCTTTCCAGGGTTTATGCACACGTTTACATTTACATGGGAGCAAAGTCCCATCCGCTTAACTGGGGCTACTCACAGCCATACCGAATGCAGATGCCTAAGTCTTTGCCGGATTCAGGCCTTTTATTCCAACTCTTCGGGAGGAAAGCTACGTTGGGGAAATACCAAACTCTGAAAGCTCCTGCTATGCATCTCTGAGTCTTCCAAGGAGACCTCCAATCAAAGCAGGAAAGCCCAGTTTTGGCCTTCCAGACAGAAATAAAATCTTTTAAAAATCCCAACCAGTCTGCCAGGCCTTCCCCCATCCATCGTTCAGAAGCAAAAAAGAGGCACAAACCCTTTTTGCAGGCCACCTTTAAAGTGCCTAAGGAGGGAGTGTTTTTAAAGTTCATGGCAAAGTGGTTAATCTCAGAGCCTGGTGAGCAATGCAGAGTGAGAACCTTTTTGGGTTTTTTTTTTTATACGTTGATGTTAGGCTAAAAAATGCTTCCTGTGCTGGTATCCTTCCAGCTTTCCTTTTTAAAATAAAATAAAATAAAGAGTCCCCAAGGAAGCAGGAGCTTCAGCCCCTAAAAGTTGAATCCAAAGTTTTCTTGATTGCATCCAATCCAATGACAGGAGTTTGCAAGCCTGGAATTGTTACCATGGTGCAAAAACATCCCCCGGCTTCAGAGAAGGGAAGCAAGGCCAAGTGCTATCCTGTAGAGTCTCCCATCCATACTCCACATCAGGATTTTGGAGCAGCCAAAGCAGGGACAGCTCCCGCAGAAACTGGCCCTGGCCCAGATCCTGAAAGGTATTTAATCTCCTCACTTCCACTGATGTGAGGATCTGGGCCCTACTGTTA